GAAGGGAAGGAGAGAAGGAAAATGATGAGAAATAGTTGAAAACAGACTCTGAGGCCAGACTCTGACTCCTCTACTTACTGGCTGGACACATTGTTTATATCTTTGTGTCACATATTTATAGTGGGAATAATAATAGCATAATTGTGAAGATGAAAAGAGTTAATATATGTCCTAGTAACGTGTTGACAACAGTGCATGCTGTATGTGTTTATTGCTATTTTTGTTAGCAATAGCTTTCTTAAGTGAAATCAGCTATGTTTCCTCTCATTTCGTTTTCTAAGAAATGGGAGGTTTTCAGACTACATATTATCTAACCCTGTGTGTTCACTTAAGGCATCAAATTTCTGAGTGAGTTTTGGGCCTGGGGGAGAGGCGAGCTCCTATACCTATTTGCTGTTTACGGTGTAATAGTGAATATAAGGATAGTGCGCGTTTTGCTTCTTCATAAACTATAGTAAGCATTTTGCCCTTTCATACCAGACTCTGTCTTGCTTCTGACCTTCCTAGCTTTTAGAAATGCTGCTGATGATTCTTCTGTTTTCATTGTTACCTCAACCTTTCGGCGTGGTGCATACCACTGCTTTTGTCATCTAGCTTAGATCTTTCTGTTAGATTATTATTTTCTTTCCTGTCTATTCTTCAGCCTGAGAGCGAGAGGGGCAGGGCAGAGCTGTCTTCTTGGTTCTGGTAGCAAGAGCTGTTCCTCGGCATCAGCCTGATATTCATAGAGCACTTCCCCCCGTTCCTGTCCCCTCCTCCACTCACTGTCAGCGCCTCCCTGACAGCACCACTCTCTGCTCCACCCTCTGTCACAACACTGTTGACCCCGCTGTGAACAGGTGCAGTGTCATACCGGTTCTACACCTGGATGTCTGGCTTTCACAAGGAATGAAAATCTAGGAGATGAGAGCACTCATCACTGGCTGGTTGGTGACTTCACTTTAAACAAGTGAGTTGGATGCTAATGGTCAAGGCTCTTCCGATTAAGAATCTTGGAGGAGATGACATTTTAGCTGCTACTTGAGCAGTGGAGGAAGAAAGCAGGTTGTAGGTTGGAGAGGGTATTTGAGGCTTAGGATTGATTCTCAGTTGATACTTGAGTGTTATATTTAAGGCACTGGGGATACAAAAATTTAGTTCCTGTTAACTCCAAATGATTGGTGAAGTGACAAATAAGGCAGATGTTGAAAGGAAAGAGGGGTTGCTGAGGATTGGAGAAGTTGGGGAAGATTTTGTCTGTTTTCATGCTACAAATTCTCCATGGATGATTTCATGCGTTCTTTTGAGATCAGATCTTCTTGAGAATCTGGGGGTTCATCATAACAAAGTTTTACTGAGTTTCTAGAATATACGATGATCTCCCGTCTCTGCACCTTTGCACATGCTGTTTCTTTTGCTTGGAATAGTGTTAACTCAGCTACTTCTTACCAATTCTTAAAATATAATCATAGAAGTCGTAACGTTCAGAAAAGCTTACTTGATTTTTCAGGTCTGGATCAAGTGTTTCTATGGGTCTCATAGTCCCTACCAATCCTCCCTCCCCCAAGTCATAGCCTTTATTGTGCCATGTTGTAACTGCTTTCATCAGACTGTTCATGGGAGACAAACTGTGTAATGATAATGCTTAGTGTATGGCTGCTGCTCCAAAAATATTGGTTGGTTGAATGGATGAGTGGGAGATGGTAGAGGGGGAGATGGTAGAGAGGAGACTTGCTCATTACAGCAACCGGAAGAGATAGAGCAACAACAAGGTGTATAGTAATGCATGCACCTGATTCTGAGACAATGAGTGGGACCATTTGATTGAGTAAAATATTGAAAAGAGAGGCTGGGGCTTTGAATGCCAGGTTAACTGAAGAGTTTATTTAATAAAAAAGGGCCATTGAAGCTTTTAGAGATAGGAGTAATGATATACATTCTCACAAATTTGATTAAGTAATATACTCGTGCATGGGAAATAGTTTTTGTAATTCTTGTGTTAAAATTTTTGTAATACTCTTCAGTGAGCTAAATGTAAAACTGCCAGGTTTGAAGACTTGTCTTTTAAGATTGTCCTAACACGATTTATAGGGAGACTTTTAGAAGAGTTGAATACATTTTCTTGAGTGAATCGAATAACTTGTTAAACTGTGTGGTTTGTCTTTCTTATAAACGATGGTGAACTATGACAGTTTAAAATGTAACTTTAAAAAGACAGTAATCTGACATTTCTATGGGGGGTTCCTTATTTGTGGTTAAAAGAGGAGTGAATGCTGACAGCTGTGACTTTTCTCTCTCTAGTATCTCCAGAGGCCGTTGGATTTTTGTCAGCGGTTGGGGTGTTTATTATCTTGATGCTGCTCCTTTTTCTCTATATTAATAAGAAGTTCTGTTTTGAAAATGTTGGCGGGTTTCCAGATCTTGGTTCAGGATACAGCACAAGGAAGAATTCACAAGATAAAATTTGTAAGTATTGTCACTGCTTCTCTTGTTTGTTCTTTCTATCTGTACTATCCTATTATTTTTTAAAATACATAATCGAGAGGTTGGTTTTGGCATACTATCAATTAACATTTGAACCACTGTTCTGTGAGAATAAAAGATCTATTAAGTAAATTAGGCTCAGTAATCTTAATGTTGTCCACAAATTGCTAATATATTGCAGAAAGATGAATTGCTGTGACTATAAAGTAACTTATTTTTAAGATAAAAGATGTACTTTTTAGACTATAAAATTAATAGATATGCTTTAAGAAGGAAGGAGAATTTTGTTGCTTTGTCTGGCTTAAATCTCTTACCCAAATAACTCTTGAATTAGCTTTTTTCCCCGTGTCCCTAGAAAGCTTTAGGAAGTTTTCACTCTTTTCTTTACCTGCTGTTGGATTCTCAGCTGATAGATAATTGGATAGTTTGGAGAAGGTTTTCTTTAGGAACTTGGTGTATAAAAATTAGTGTTCCTTTCCCTTCCGTGGCAACACAGGCATTGTATCACGTCCTGTTACTCAGTACTAGGAAAGACGAGGGAGGGCTGTAATATTGTTCTTTCTCTTATGGAAACATTTTCCTTGGAGTTATTTTTTAAAGTTATTGAGCTCCTTATTTGCTATTTCCGAAGACTGGGTTGTGTAAATGACAGCAGGAGCAAGTGAACCATTATCAAGGCAGGATGTTAGTGTGGAAGAATTTTGAGGCACTACCGCAGATAAAATTTGCTTTCCTTGTCTGTGTGTGTGTATTGGAGAGAGGTTTTTCTCTTCTGGTGACTTAAAAGTGATAGCCTCATTGTTTGTAAAAATCTATTTGCTATTGAATTACGTCTGTCACTTGCATTAGGAAGCCACAGTACTTTCTGTGGTTTTGATTTGTTTCTCATAATTCAGCCCTGCATTTTGATCATTTGTATAGAATGAACTGGCGAAAGCGATCGCTGGGCGGCCTCCAGTCATTCTCTGGATCAGCATTTGTGATGTTTCTTGGGCCAATGACCCCTTTATATTCTTAAAAATTATTGAGGACCCCAAAGAGCTTTTGTTTTTATGAGTTGTATCTATTGATATGCATCATATTAGAAGTTAAAGCTGAGGAGAGTTTTAATTATTTTTATCAATTTACTTATTAAAACAACAAGCCTATGACATGTTAATACAAATAACATTTTAATTAAAAATTATACTTATTAAAACAAAAAATTTAGTGAGAAGAGTGACATTGTTTTACAGTTTTGGAACATCACTAATGACTGGCATAGAAGAAAGGGACAGCTGGGTTCTCACATCTGCTTCTGCATTCAGTCTGTCATGTAGTCGCTGAAGACTCCAGTGTTCTTTTGTGAGCAAATAAAAGTGAGAGGTTAGCCCTAGCCGGTTTGGCTCTGTGGATAGAGCAGCGGCCTGTTCCGGGTTCGATACCGGTCAAGGGCACGTGCCTGCATTGCAGGCTCAATCCCCAGTGGGGGGCATGCAGGAGGCAGCCAATCGATGATTCTCTCTCATCATTGATGTTTCTATCTCTCTCTCCCTCTCCCTTCCTCTCTGAAATCAATAAAAAAAATATTCTTTTTAAAAGTGAGAGGTTAAATATCTACTTACTCTTGTTATAAAAATAGTTTTGACCTTGAGAATCCATTGGAAAGTTCTCAGGGATCTTAATTTTTCTGAGCCTTGTTTTTCTTTCAAATATTTTTTTTTTTAATATATTTTATTGATTTTTTACAGAGAGGAAGGGAGAGAGATAGAGAGTTAGAAACATCGATGAGAGAGAAACATCGATCAGCTGCCTCCTGCACATCTCCCACTGGGGATGTGCCCGCAACCCAGGTACATGCCCTTGACCGGAATCAAACCTGGGACCCTTCAGTCCGCAGGCCGACACTCTATCCACTGAGCCAAACCGGTTTCGGCTCTTTCACTTATTAAATAGGAATAATAGTGTTTACCTCCTAGAGTTATTATAAGATTAAATAAGGTAAAATTTGTAAATTACAATGCTTTGCCTGTCATAGCTACTGAGAAAATGTTCACCCTCTGCCCTCCCCTGTTCTAACCTCTGTGCACAATTGCTTACATATTTTCCCCTTAGTATTTTTCTTAATTTGATATTGGTAGTTTGTTAATAAGATAGGGTAGTTCCCTTGCATAGACTATTAATTAATTAACGAAAAGTAATATAGTAAAAATCCTTTTTATACTTCTTCTTACAGGTATAGAATTAAAAACCAGTAGTATTTGAAGGGAAACTAATTATCTTGCTGCTGTTATAGCTTTGGAGTGGGAAAAAATATCATTATATTTAAAGCAAGTGGTTTGATTTTTCTTTTTTTCTGGAAGAGTCTTTGCTTCGGCATGCTTCTTCCAATGCATAATGCATTTACAGAACGATTTAAAAAACCACCATGCGAAATACTAATATCGAGCTCAGAAATAGCAACATTTAGGCAAATGTTAAATTCACATTCCAAGTGGTTGATATTTTGAGAAGAGAAGATTTCATTATTGCACCGTGTAGGGACAAGGAGATAGAAAATGGCATTTTTCAGAAAACTGCAGCGGAGCCTGCCCTCCGTGTCCTCCCTGGTGGACACAATCAGTAACGCTGTGGACGACCTGACCACAGCTGTCGGGGAGGTCAGCTATGCTTTGAGCGACGCAGTGACTGAACAGGTGACAAGCATGATGAATGGCTTTCACCCAGAGGAGGAAAGCGCTTCAGCAGCAGAAGCGGTGGATACTTCTGAACAAGAAGACGCCATGTCACCAGAAGTCTCCAGAAACACCGATTGTCAGGAAATGCCATCCAGGGTAGAGCCCACAGCAAATCCAAGGAATTGTTACACGACTTCAGTTTCACAAAGGCAAGATCAAGGAACAAATGAAGAAAGACCGTTTACACATATTAATGATAGGCAGCAGATGCTATCAAAATGTCAAGAAACCAAGAATGCTGGGAATTCTGTGGAAGGCCATGTGAGTGATGGTGGGATATCAGTTGTCGAGCAGAATGCAAGGACTGGATCTCTTTGCCAAGAGCTTAGACCTACAGACAGGTATAGAAACATTGGGTTAGGAATTTCTAGTAATGGTAAGAATGATTTAAAGGAGGTAAGGTATGAAGAAAAGAGAGAAAAACATTTAGAGAAAGCTGAAAACCATATTAAAAGTAAAGGGTCGAAAGGAAATGAGTGTTCAGGAAATGAGAACTCTCCAAAAGATATTTTGGCGAGCGATAGACATGCGATACGGAAATCCATTATGAAAGAAGACAGACATCTAGCACCATCAACTAGCTCTAAAGGTAAATTACATGGAAAAATCAAAGAACATATACAAGCAACAAAATGCTACAAAGGGAAAGGAGACGTAAAAGCAAAGAAAAGTGAAGCCGTTTCTGCCAAGAAAGGAAAAGCAAAGAGTAAAGATGAAAAATATTCTAAGATAATACCAGGAAAAGGTGAGGTCTCCTACTGTGGGTTTGAGTGATAAAATTTCTCTTGAGTTTTGAAATTAGGAAAATATCATCCAAATTTCTGAACTTTCCTACACATGCCTCTATATCTGTTTTGAGACTTTCTTTATTCTTCTTACTGGGAGACATTTTTAAAGTCATTCATTTTTTTCCTCTCACAATCATTTCAAAGAACAATACACTAAGTGTTGCCTCTGGTCCCTGCATTATTTGGCCAGTTTTCAACAACCTTAAGTTTTTAAAATGTCTGTTGTTTTCTTACAACCAGAAACTCCATGGCTTTCTTAAGTATGAAAGCTTTAGTTGGAGTTTATTTTTAGTTGCATTTACATTTTTTAAAAAATTTTTGTAACTAACGCCAAAGTTCTTTGTACAGTGTTGCTCTTCAAGTCCACCCTAGTAGGTACCTATATCAAGTGTTTTATATTTTCCTTTGGGAACAATAGATTTTATTTTTTTGAGTCACATGCTTCAGGATATGTGTCTGTTCGGTTAGCCATACATGTCCATACAGTGAGTATACATAAACTAGTATTACTTATGAGTTCTCTATAGAATTAAGATTCCAATTAAACATTTATAATTTTCCACCACAATATGTATAACAATTTTCAAAACCATTATCCAATAGTTATGTGGTTTTGGTTGCAGAATTGCTTCAGAATCCTGTAATTCTTTCTGTTAATACCATAATCATTTCCACTTATTGCTGGTCTGATCACAAGGCCAAAAGTACACTGGTTCTCATTTATAAAATATGTACCTAGAACTTTTCAATAAATTTAGATTCTCATAAAATAACAAAATATGAGTAAGAGTAGAAATGAGGAAGACTTTTTCAGTTCTGCATGACTTTATATGGAATAAGGATCTGCTATTTATCAATTATATGAATGTTTTTTTAAATGATATAATAGAGGCTGATCCAGGATGAATGAGCTAACTGAAAAGAACCACCAGTTTTTGGAAATACTGTTAGCCTTTCACATCTATGGATTTCATAATTGTGGATTCAGCCCACCACAGATTGAAAAAACCCCATATATATATATATATATATATATATATATATATATATATATATATATATATATATGAATGATGTTACTTTGTCGCTGATGTGTGCTATGTAGTTAGGCCTGTGATGGTTGCATCTGTAGTGAACCTATACAGACACTTTTTTCTTCTTATTAATCCCTAAACAACACAATATATCAAGTATTTACATAGCATTTACATTGTATTGGGTATGATAAGTAATCTAGAGATTATTTATTTTGCAGCATATTATCCCTTTATTTTTTAATTTTTCCTTTTTTCTTTATCGATTAAGGTATGATTTAAAGTATATAGCAGGATGTACATAAGGGACTTGACCATCCTTGGATTTTGGTATCTGCAGAAAGTTCTAGAACCAATCCCCTGTGGATACCAAAGGTCAACTCTATGTCCATTTTGGAATCTACTCTTCTAGTAGCCTTTTGAATGTTAGACTCGGAGGTTTGTGGTAGCCTTGCTATTATTACATGAAGTGGCAGAAATAAAGAAAGACATACATATTAAGTAGAATAGTTTACATGTTATTTTGTTCATAAAATAACACTAGGGTGCTCTCTAGTAATAAATACTTGACAAGTAGCAGTACAGCGTTTTAAGTTTTGTCTTGATTTGTTTTCATTAAGAAGCATTCTGGTACCTAAAGAAACCAAATACCTTTCAAATATTCTAGATTACAATCAGCACTAAACTTAAACAGGTTATATTCTAAAAATCCTTTTAAAACTTAATCCCATAGTTTATCTCTTCATGTAGCCAAATTGTGATATTACTAGTTCCTATGTACTTGGTTCTGACGTAGAGCTTATCAGGTACAAAAAGAGGAGGGAGAGTTTCCTTCTCTCTTTCTGAATGCAGGGCTACTTTAGGCAATATTTTATAACATGTGAAGTGTGACTGTGGAATTTCTAGTTGTTGTCCTCAGTACCTTAACTTCACCACCATGATATCCCCAAAAGTCTGAAAGCTCTGAAACGGAAGTCACAATGCCTAGGTTCTAGACCAGATCTGCCATCATCCTGTCACCGCCCAATAGAACTGCCTGCAAGGATGGAAAAGTTTTGCTTATCCATATAAGAACCACTGTCTCCCATGGCTACTGAACAATTAAAATGTGGTTAGTAGCACTGTTGAACTGGATTTTAAATTTTATTTTTAATTGTTTAAATAGCTGCATGTGGCTAGTGACTACAAGTTGGGCAATGCAAAAACGTTGGCCATAGTTTTACCCTTTTGTGATTTTATTTTGTTGGATTAAAAAGCGGGACTTAAACCAGGTGACACCTAAGCTTCCTTACCTCTGACTCTAAACATTCCGTTCCTATCCCACATTGTAAAATTACTTATTCTGCGCCTCCCCACTTGGATTTCAGACCTTGATTTCTTTAGTACAGATCATCTCAACTGAGTATATAGAGAAAAATATCTAGACTGACCTCACAAATTCTACCTTCTGTGGTCTCTTCATCTTCCTAGAGTTGATTTATAATTCTAGGAAGGTTGCATCTTAGTTTAAATGCATCTTAGCATGCTGCAGTTTTAAAAGTTTTACCTAGTGCTTTTAAAAATAATAAAGAATTTATACCACCTAAAATTTTTATATTAAATATAGGTATATGTAAGAAAAACTTTTCCTAGTAATTTCACCATTTGCAGATAATAAGTGTTAAGTTTTTGTATATTTTTCCGCACATTTTTGTATGTGTATATAAATATATACTGCATGTATGTGTGTATTTACTGCATGTAAGAGAGTGTATGTGTATACATATATATATGTTTAAATATATATATTTAAAATGAAACTATGAATATACCTTCTATTTTATAACCTTAGTTATTTTTTCCCTGTGAGTTCTTGTAAGTTGACTTCATTTTCATTCACTGCAAAGTATATCATTGCATCGATAGATCATAATTTACTTAACCAAGGCCCAGTGATGGATGCTTAGGTTTTATTTTATTTTTTGTTGTGTTTTTTTTTTTCACTATTAAACACAATGCACTGAGTTGTCACCTATTATTTTCCTAGGCTGAATTCTTAGAAATGGAATTGATAAATTCTTAGAAATGGATCAAATACTATACAGATTTAAAAGTTTAATATGTATTACCAAATTGTTCTCTAGAAAAGTTCTACCAACTATAATTTTACTAATAATACAGGGTGGGCAAAAGTAGGCTTACAGTTGTAATACAAATAATAAAATAGTAATAAGTAACACTCTGCCCGTGTGGCTCAGTTGGCCCATACACCAAAAGGTTGCGAGTTTGAACCCCATCAGGGAGTGTACAGGAGGCAACTGATCGATGCTTCTCTCTCTCTCTCTCTCTCTCTCTCTCTCTCTCTCTCTCTCTCTCTCTCTCTCTCTCTCTCTCCCACTCTCTAAAATCAATAAAAAAACATATTTTCGGGTGAGAATTAAAAATAAATAAACTCTGTTCTTTAGATGTCTGTTTCACATATACACAACTATAAACCTACCTTTGCCCACTCCTGTATATGTCTGCCCGTTTGTTTCATTCCTAGTATAAGAATTACCAATTTTGAAAATTTCAGCTAAGATGATAATATCTTTTGTAACATGAATTCTGAATCATGTCTATATGTTTAGGCAATACCTATAACATCCTTTGTATACTATTGATTCTTTAGAAAAATTGTGTAAAATGATGGGCCCTATTATTTTCTTTATGTGTAACATTGTAGGGAAATCCCCGTGATTAACATTATTTATGTAATTGGAGTATACAAATGAATCTTATTCTATTGAAGCATTAAATCTAGCCCTAGCCAGTTTGGCTCATTGGATAGAGTGTCAGCCTGCAGACTGAAAGGTCCTGGGTTTGATTCCAGTCAAGAACACATGCCTGGGTTGCGGGCTCGATTCCCAGTGGGAGGCGTGCAGGAGGCAACCCATCAATGAATCTCTCCATTATTGATGTTTCTATCTCTCTCTCTCCCTTCCTCTCTGAAATCAATAAAAATACATTTTAAAAACTCCATAAAATCTAAATCTTAGGCTTTAAAAAAAAAGTCTTGGGCTTTTTAAGTGAAAAGTTTATACTTCTCTAAAGCTGAAAATTTAGATTGTGTATTTGTTTATATGTGTTTATATATTTGTGTGTATATGGATATATATGACACATATACATGTGTATATTGTATATGTATACATATACGTGTGTGTGTATATATATATAAAACTATAACAAATTCATCATCCTTTATTGCATTAAAATTTTGATTTGCTCTCCTTGTTGCAAATAGATAATTCCTACATGGACAGAGATGAGCACGGTTCATCCTCTGAAAGTGAAGATGAAGCACTCGGTAAATACCACGAGGCCTTATCCCGAACACACAATTCCAGGCTCCCATTGGCTGATTCTAGACAGAAGAACTATACTTGGGAAACAAGACAAAAATACAGCCCTCTATCTGCAGAGTATGATGGATACAGCAGCGAAGCATCAATAGATGAAGGTAAGATCAGTTTTTTTTTTAGATGACACACTATAGTGTTAGATAATTTGTGCCTAAAACTCTCGGCATTGGTGGCTGCACAATCAACAAGAGATCGCAGGTACAGTAGAGTCACATGTCTGGGAATATAACTTATTCAAATGTATATCTTTGGGCTCAAGCTGAAAACCAGAACACCCAAAACAAAACACTAAATAATTTAAATACAGTAGTAACTCTAGCTCTTTTTCCACAATGAGCATATGGCTAGCAAGCATGACGCGAAAGACGGGGATACGCTGTTCTCTCAGGCGGAATGCTTCCCGAGTACCTGCTCCAGGACTGACACAGTCTAAGTTTCTCAGAGTGTTGACTGTGATGCCCGTGTGTAAATGTGCGCTTTCCTTCAATGTGGCCTCCAGGCGTGAGCCAAATACTCCATGTGGCACCAGCAGAGGAAATGGTGATGTTTGCTCCGCGCGGGAGGAAAAACTGTCGAGATGGGTTTATTGAGAGCCGGTACTGTATTATACTGTGCTTGCAGGGTGATTTAAGGACTTTTCACAGATTATTTTGTCTCTAATTGATTTTTGCCTCATGTACTGACATAGACTTTAGAACTATGTAGAAGACATAAGCCCACTGTCACATGTTTTTACATTTTTCTACAAGAGAAATAAGAGGTTTTAACAATTAAAGCATATTGATTTCCACATCTAAGTAAGTTCATGTGCTTGTTATATGACTATTCGTATATAATTATTATCTTTATACCCAGATCTAAAGAAAAGAGCAGTATATCTTAGCGTTTTTATTATTATGACCAAACCATCCTCAATTTTGTAGTTGTGGTTGGTGTTTTAGGGCCTATTCCAATTGATGACTTAAAGTCTTACCCCAGCACATACTATAGTCAGAAGAGCTGCATCATCTTTTTTTTTTTTTTGTATTTGGCTTAATGCTAACTAAAGATTGATAAACCTTTTTACTTCTGCTAGTAACCAGGTATAGTAAGAACCCAATCGAATACTGAGTGATTACTATATAGAAAAATCATTTTGAGATGCTAGGGAAGAAACAGAGCATATTAGACATGGACTGTGCCCTCATAGATATCATTCTAGTGATGACGAAAATAAGACGTGTGTTCACAAAGGTAACGAAGTAATGCAAAGCAGTAAAGCCAGCCCCCAGCTTGTTTACACCCCTGGCACGTGGATAGCAGAGCAGAAAGAGAAGTTTGAATCCTGACCCTCTTTCACATCCCGGCTCTATGACTTAACATATTCACTATGAAACCATGGGCACTGCAGTTAATTGTTTATAGGTTTGTTTTATTGTCTCTGAAGTATGGATAATACCTCTGTGATCGGGTTGTCATGAACGCTGAAGGACATGTGTGGTCGTTTTCAGCACAGCGTCCAGCTGCCAACAGGTAAGCGATCAGTAAATGGTTGCTACCAGTGAGAGTGGTGAAAGCGGAGATGATAGTAGTCATGAGCAAGTCCGAGTTTGTAATCCGTGACCCTCAACACGTCCCTTTTTGTAGCTTCAGTTTGGGATTTGTCTTTTTCCCTATTTATTTCTCCTTCTTCGCATCCCCTACACGTCTTGGTTGCTTCTTCCGTGTGGTCCTGTTATCTTAGCGTGGCTCTGCGTCTGTGGCAGAGCAGTGAGGAGAGGGCCATAACCTCAGTGGCTCTTCTGTTCTTGCCGAAACCACTGGAGCTGGCAAATATTCTATCTAAACATGTAGGACCCATCTTTACTTTCCTACCACGACTGCCCTCAATTATTTGATAAAACATCCAGGGTCGATGGATTTTAGGCACTCTGAAATGAGATGTATCTATTTCATAAACATTTGTTGAAGTCTTTTTATGTGCCATCCTAAGGACTGTGGATGAAATAGGAATAAAACGAGCTTCTTTCAAAGAGCCATGGACTGGAGGGGGAACACCATGAGTACATGTGTACTGCAGTGTGATGAGAGGTCTGTTGCTTTCATGAACAAAGTCCCGTGGGAACACAGAGCAGGAGGTGACTCAGACTTTGTTTGGGAGGTGGGCACATGGGGATGTCTAATGCAGTCTTCACGGAAGAGGTGAGCTGGACTTGAGAGGAAACTGTCTCAACACCATGGAATAGTGATTGAGTGAAAGCAGTAGAGAGTGTCCTGCAGGGTCTAATTCAGGGTCTGGGCTTAGATGGGCAGGTGATAGGATTGAATGCTCAGGGGACTGGGCATTGTCTCATGGGAAATACAGAGGAGGTTTTTAAGCTGGACAGTGTTCTGCGTCTCTGGATCTATTTTGTTGATCAGTTTATTTTGTCCTTATGCTACAGCCACGTGCCCTGCCCGTATTTGGTGGTGGCTCTTGGGCCCCAAAGAAAGAAGAGGGAAGTAGATACCTGGGGACACTGGCAGTGTGCCCCAAATCCCACACTGGTGTATGCATTCTTGCTCGTGTCTGTGTGTGATTCTGTGAGCTTGGCAGAAGACAGAAATATACTGGGTTGTTATGGAATACACTTGCAGAGGTGGATGTGGGGAGTAATGAGGAAGAGAGGGGAGACTTAAATAAAAAAGGGAATGAACACCAAAGAGTGCAGACAAGCTAAACGAAAGAAATAAAATCTCTACATAATCTTATTATGTTTGTGTTTCATATAAATTACGTTTGTATGTGATGTATGATGAAATTTAAAAATTAGGAAAAAATACCAGCATGCACCATGTATGTTAAGTAGCATTTTCCCCTTAATGTGACGGGTTCTGGGAGATTAGAAATTATTGTTTAGGAAAATTCTGTACATCTCTAAGCTCCAGGGATAAGATAACAAGAGAGATAGGTGCCTCTTTTTTTTTTTTTGCGTTATGTTTACAAATGAGCACAATGAATAACAATTGGCAGTATGAAACATTACAAATTCACATTTTGAGAATAGGAATACACTGGAGATATTGCTTAGAAAGAATCTTAATCACTAACATGATCATTTCATCTGACTAGTAACTAACCGACTTCTCTAAAGAGATTAAAGTAACAATTAGGTATTTGAGTAAGTAAAGTGTTGATTATTTCACAAATCATTTCTTTGGCAGTTTGCTGTGATGATTGTTGAGATGTAGAAAGAGAGTGTGAGTCAGCACATCATTCAGTTGTGCTGCTGATAATGCTTTGGAAACTGCTGGAACATACAGATGGTTGACATTAGTAATGTTTTTGACCTTACAATGTAATTACTATGTGCTTACAGTAAACAAAGGCAAACAAAAAATGTTCAGTAAAATTACAATGGCTGCATTTTATACTTTATCAAAAACGTACAGTTTGTAGTTATTCTCTACATCAAAATTTTGCTCTTTTTGGTACATTTTGTTCCTTTTGACATGATTGAAGTGGTTGATCAATACTAAAGCTTTGTACTAACATGAAAAGGAGTTCCTTGGTATTTTAAAATGTGTAGATGGTGCCCATCTAAGTAACTTTAATACATTTCCCTCCTTACAAACTCATTAACTGCTATTATATTTTGTTTTCTGCTAACTTCAGTATCAAATGTCAAACATAATTTACACATGCAAAACTACTAATAGTGAGAAATAGCATTTTGAATAAGAAATCTGCTTTTCTGTGGGAGTAAATGTCGAATACCTGAGTGAATAGATTATTGTGTTCCTTAAAAAAAAAAAAATCCACCCTAATTTAAAATTTGTGCATATTCAGTTGAATAAATTGACATTGGTAATTGTCTTAAAATTTAACTAGTTATCCTACTTGGATTTTTTATTGAATTTGTTGGGATGGCCTTCCTTGGTTAATAAAATTATATAGGTTTCAGGTGTACAATTCTATAATACATCATCTGTATATTGTATTGTGTGTTCACCACACAAAGTCAAGTTTCCTTCCATCACCATTTAAGCCCCCTTTATCCTCTCCTGCCTCTCCCAACCCCAGTTCCCTCTGATAATCAATGTACTGTTGTCTGTGTCTATGTGTTGGTGTTGGTGGTGGTGTGTGTGTGTGTTTGCTTAACTCTCCACCTTTTTCCCCAGCTCCTAACTCTCACCCCTCTGACAGCGCCTCTGTATCCATGAGTCTGTTTCTATTTTGTCCGTCTATTTTATTCATTCAATTCCACATATAAGTGAAATCCTGTGGTATTTGTCTTTCTGTGACTGGCTTATTCCAGAATCGATCATTTTTAAAGTAGTCAGCTTTCTTTTGGTGAGGAATGGTATTTAGAAACCAAGCTCTAGAAGTGCTTGTTACCACTGGCTGTCATTGCTGCCAGGCTCTCTCAGTGGACACAGTCCATTCTGATATCACTGATTCGAATCCAGCATCCCCGGGCTCTTCCCCTCCTTTCCCTGTTCTGAGTTTATACCTCCTCTCAATGCAGTAAGAGCTGTGGTTCCCAACAACATCCCCGTATTTATTTATTTGCCCCGTCCACATTACACACAAAACAGTTTGGGAGTTGCCACACAAATACTACTTTGAACACTAAACTTCTTAAATAAATTTCAAGAATTGTTTGCATTCTATTATCCTTAGACTACATCCCAGTAAGGGTGTATAAGTAATGTGTCCAAAAGTTACCTGATTAGTTCTTTTTATTTTCTTCATTGTAGTTATGTACTTATTTGGTATAAATATAGTTCAGTTCATATTTTTGTTTCATCCAGTGCTGGGTTTGTTTTCCATCTTTTCAATTTATAAAGCATTAACATAGTTTAAAAATAAAAGGTATCGTCAGGTAAATCCCATTTTCTTTATTTCCTCCACTTCATTCCCACTTATCTGTGTAGGTAACCACTTTCATTCATTTCTGGTTTATCCTTCCTGTGTTTTGTTTTGCAAAAATAAGAATGCACTCTTTTATTTCCCCTTTGTTGTTATATAAAAAGGTAGTATACTATGTATAAGTATGTGTTTATGTATAAATGTGTGTGTGTATATATATATATATATATATTTTTTTTTTTCTTTTTCATCTTTCTTTTGAACTTA